TCCTATATTTTATCTGGCAACACTACCCTTGGCATTCTACCAGGATAAGGTATATATTGCAAAATAAAAGAACATTTAAAAGTTGTTTTTAAATGTGCTCTGATCTCAGAAACCCCTAAATCCCCCCTTCTCAGTAGCTGTTGTCTCACATTTTGTACTGTAAGCTAACTGCCCACCACTCTTGATGAGAAGAGCCACATAGAGTGTAAAACCCTCCTCTCTTCACAGAGGAGTAAAAGTTATCCAAACAGTCCTCCCTTCTCAATTTCCATTTAAAACAGATATTCTTTCCAAAAAAGAGTATGAAAAAATAATTAAACAGAATAGTCACGAAGCGTTTTCTAGGAGCAATTTTGAGTCTCCAGTAGAACAACAATGGTCTCCAGTATAAAAATACAACCAAGAACTAAAAGACATCTGAAAAAAAACTCTAACATGAAAACGATGGCAATCTAAATAGAAAGGGAAAAGCAATTTGTAGGTAATTCATTATTCAAGATGAAACAAATATCAAGAAATTATCATTAATGTTCTCAGAGATACAAGATGCTACAACCCACAAACAAGAACAGAATCACATAGAGAACAAAAAATTCCTAGAAACTAAAAATATGGTAGATGGAAATGTAAAATTCAGTGGTGAGTTGGAAGATAAAGGTGAGTAAATCTCCCACAAAGACAGCAAGAAGGCAGAAAATTAAAGTGAAAAGACAAGTCAATCAAAGAATCAGGCTAAGAGATTCATAACAGAAACAGCAAGAATTTTAAAAAGAGGTAACAGAAATGAGGGTAGCGGACAGGTAAGAGAAACAAAGAACCTGAGAAAATGTTATAGGACTTAAGGGCAGGTGTCTCCAGAATGAAGTATGCCCAGGAAAATGGACAAAAACAGACCCACACCAATGTTATACTGTTAGGAAATTTCAGAACAGAGGGGACAAAAATAGCCTACAAGCTTCCAAAAAGAAAAACCAAGTTTTAAACAAAGCATCATGAAAACACACTTTCAAATATGCAAGATATTAAAAGAAATTATTTCCTATGCACCTTTTTCAGAAAGCTACTGGAGAACAGACTCGACCAAAATGAGGGAACACATTAAGAAAGAGAAACACACAGATTGTAGGAAAAAAAGAATCCAACAGAAAAGGAGGAGAGAATCCCCAGGATGAACAGAAGACACCAGAATGTAAGTATGCACCAGGAACATAACCATTCTCCCATCAGAGGGCCCCCCAGCACAGCTTCTTCAGGAGCCTGAAACTGACCAAATATGTCTGAGCATCTTAAGATTTAGACAAGTGATGGAGGGTTTGAGGTCAAATCAGTCATAAGTACATCAGCAAACCAAGTAAGGCAAAGGATTCATTCCAAGGAAATTCATTCATTTGCAATTCCAGGAGTTGTTCAGGAAAAGTAACCAGTTTACTACATAAATAAGCTCTGGTCAGCATTACATTAAAAAGTTAAAAAAACATGGAGAGAATTTTTTTAAGAACTCAATTTAAAGTGGTTACTTTTGTAGAAGGAAAAATGAAGAGTGTGACAGAAGAGAGCTCCTTTTCATAAACTTCAAATTGCTAGCTTCTATAGAATTATTTGAGTCTTTAAAAGCATAACTTTTTTAAAAAGAAAAAAAGATGAAAAGCTCCAGTCATCAAATATCCGTCCCCCAAAAAACTTTAATGCCAATTTAATCTATATTCTTCAACTTAAAAATCTTCCTACCTCTAATGGTATTACATTAACCAGCTAAAAATCAGCTTTAAAAGCCCTATTTTTCAAAGTATTTGGAAGAATTCCCCACCAAGAATGCAGAGACTAGCCCACGCCACTGATACTTCGTCAGGACTTACTTGTTTGTGTAAATGTTTATACTGGCGTTTGTATTTGGAACAATAGTGGTTATTATAAAAAAGAGATAGTTGTGTTTAACATGCCAGATCTGGGTAAATTCAAGATTTTCACAAAAATTATCCCCAAAGTAATATTAAACTTAGACACTTTTTTTAAAAGTCCAGATTTGAAATATCAAAAACATTTTTAATTCAGTCTGGAGTGAATACTAAGTCAAGAACTGAATCAAATCCACAAACACAAAAAAATGAACACTAATTTTCCTTAAGTTCACTGTATTTTCTGGAAGAGGTTGCTAATTTAGTTTTCCTTTCCTTGACACTGGCATTTAGAATCATTTTTAAATGGTTTACATCTTTAAGTTCTAAGTCTACTTACCCTAAACATCTTATTATAATTAAAACTATAAATTCAGAATCAATAGCCCTCCCTTAAGAAGGGAGGATATTAATAAATGTAGAAGGACTTCAAGAAACAAAGTCACACTGGAACCCCACAGTAGTAATCAACACAAGCAAGATCTGCCAATGGATTAAAAAATGAGTGGGCTGAAGTTTAAGCAGAAATGGGACATTTGCATAGCTCATGTTATCTCCAGCAAACATTCAGTCACTACAAAGAAAAACACACTACGTTTACAGTAGCAAATCCTAGACACCACCTTAGGTAGTGGCTAAGGTTAATAACACCAGAAATACATTACCGCATCAGGGGTCAAGGATACAGTCACAGATCAGAGGACACTATGATGACATGACAACTAAATTCAAGGCAGGATCCTGGATTGGATCCTGAAACAGAGAAAGGGCATTAGTGAAAAGACTAAGAAAATCTTTACTTTTCCAAACTCTCTACTTTAGTTAATAGTATTGTATCATGGCTAATTTCTTAACTTGACAAATGTTTTATAGTTATGTAAGATGTTAATATAAAGGGATCATTAGTGAAGAGTATACAGAAACTGCTGTTTTTACAACTCTTCAGAAGGTCTAAAATTATCTAAAAATTTTTTTTAAATAACTGTTAAAAAACATATACACATATGTATGTGTATATAAATAAATCAAGACTTCAGGGAAACTGGTATTGTGGGCACTCAGTTAAAAAATAGTGTTCTTGCCTGTATCAGTCATTGTCTCACTGGTTTATGGGCTTTAAGGTTCTCCCCCTTCTAATATTTGTTTCAACTTTTAAATTTTCATAAAAAAGCCTTTAACATTCCTATATTAGGCCACAAATAAAAATCCTTGAATAAAATTGGCACCATATTATCTCATAAAATCACTCATACCAACCTAAGACCCAGTCACTATTTTTACTCTTAATTCTTCTCATCATATGTTTGTATTGGTTTTTGTTTTTTTTAAATAAGGAGAGAAAATGGCTGAAAGATTTGTTTTCTTATTAATAGGCCTGGCAGTCAAAAGGGGAAAAAAACACATTATCACTTGGATATCTTATTAAGAAATAGCAGGTTTTCCAATAACACACTATATACTGGAACTCACTTCAGATGTAAAAAGTAAGTACCTAAGTTTCTTCTACATGACAGCTTAGAGCCACCCAAGCAAAGGGCTTTCCTGGTGGCTCAGGAGTAAAGAATCCTCCTGCCAACGCAGGACACATGGGTTTGATCCCAGGGACGAGAAGATCCCCTGGAGAAGGAAACGGCAACTCACTCCAGTATTCTTGCCTGGAGAATCCCATGGACACAGGAGCCTGGCAGGCTACAGTGCATGGATTTGCAAAGGAGTCGGCCACGACTGAGTGAGTAAACAACCACCACCCAAGCAAATCCAGCTAAGACCCTTTCAGTATCCCTTCCTTAACTGTGGCTCTGAAGTGACTGTTATTAGTGGTGGTAAACATCTTTTTTATAAAACAGGCAATACTGTCTACACAATTTATTCTAGGGAAACAAAGCTAACCGTCACATCTGCCTTTAAAAGAACATAATTTCCCGCTGTGGCTGATTCAGCCCCAGAGCATGAATCCCCTTTTACCCTCTGCATATCTTACTGTACACTGAGCAGATAAGTTGAGCTGAAGTCTGCTCATAGGGACCCTGATGGTGAAGCTGCAGATAAGCTGAGCTGAAGTCTGCTCATAGGGACCGTGACAGTGAAGCTACTATTTTAGATGGAGAATAGCATTCCTGAATGGTTGTGCTTATTACTTTTGCAGTGACTATTCCTACTCGCCATGGCGTTTTTCATTTGTGTTCATCACATTGCTCCCTATGGAAGTAGCTATAGTAAAAAGACAATGAAGGGGGAAAAAAAGGAAATTTTAAAGTGAAGCTTCACCCAAATACAATGACGAAAACAAAAAAGAATATGCCTACATTTTCACTCCTATAGGCATGCCATTTCCAAATTAACCTTCTGATAGTAACAAGAAAAACAGAAGTGGTAAAACTCTAACCTGATAATCTATACAAAAAAAGGAGACAATCTACCTCAGAAACTCACTACACAGCGCAATATATTCAAGTGGTGAAAGGGTACAAATTTATCCAGAACTGCCATACTATCTGGCTGTCAGTACAGTCTCTTGAGTAATTATATTAAACATATTACTACAAAATATACCAAGAAATAGAGAATCATACTATATTTGTGAACTGCAAATAACAAAATGAAACAGAGGTCCAAGGAGGCTAAAGTCCAAGCTGTAATTTACACACAGAGTGTACGGTGAAAGCAGTTACAATGTACAAAAATGTGACAAGTAATCCAGATGTTTAAAAAAACAGAGCCTGTCCAAAGAACATCCAGTCTTATCCTGTAGGTTTCTGAGGAGCCTGTTACATAAGGTGAATTCCCCTCCTGCTGATAAGAAGCAGCTTGCCCAGGACACCCAGATATTTCTTTTTTTTTTTTTCCACCCATATATTTCTTACTGGGCAAGTCTACTTGGCAATACCAATAACCCAAGAGCTCCCTATTACATTCACTGGTCTGAAAACAACTCATAACCCAACTGTTCTTCCAAGTCCTTTACCAGTTTTTCAAGTTTTCTATTAAAGGAAAGTTGGAATGTATTGCTTCCTGTCAACAGGCATTTCAAAAGAAGGTAATTAACCAAAATCAAGAGTTCTTTGGTCGAGTTAGTAACAGGCTCCCCTTCTGTTCTAAATCCCTTCATAATCCCTTTTTTTCCAATTTTTCCAGTATGGCCTGGATTTTACAAACCGCCTCTTTCCTGGCCTGCCGGACGGAGTCCTGGCCCCCAGTTTCAACTGAATCCAGTTCCAGAAGTTCCTTGGTTAGCATCTCTTCCAGAAGCCAGTAGGCTTTGTCTGTCTTTTTTCCTACGAACTCTTCTACTTCTTGCTCAAGATACTGGACCTTCTCCAGCACATGTATGATTTTTTTAATGCTTGGGGGAGTCCCTTCATCTGAAGATAAACCCTCTTCAGCAAGATGATTGCCCTGGTCTTGAGTGCTGGGATGTTCGTGGGTGGCATTACCGTACAGATGAGGCTCAGCACTATACTGGACCTGGGAATCCAAGAGCTCTGAGCTGTCATGGTTCACTGATCCCGCGGGCTCGTACTGATGGACGCTGCAAGGGAAGCTGTGCTGGCTCACGCCTTGATCTGGCTGGCTGTAGGTGTAGGAGTCCTTGGAGTGGGAGAGCAGAGAGGGGAGAGAAGCTCTTTTAATGGGAGTCCACCAGCATCAGACTTGTGAGCCCCCACCTCCCACCTGACCAGGGAGGTGCATGAAGAGGTTCCCCACCAGTAAGACTGGACAGCCCTCTTTAACCGTTTGAGGACAATACAGCTCTGAAAAGATAAAAGGCAGAGAGTTCCTGAGTATACGGGCTGGAATCTACCCTGAGGTAGGTCATCATCATGAACACCTCATAATCTACCTTTATCACCTCACAATCTGATCAGTGACTTAATAAATGGGAATTAGATAGTCCGTTCCCCTTGAGAGAGAAAACCTGAAGACAAATCTTAAAAAGGAACCTGGCCACAAGCAAATGATGTTTAAGTGTACAGTTTAATAAAACCATGCTATTTCACATTGGTTTTGTCTTCTGTCTGGAGATAGAGGTAACAAATCTAATCTTTGATTTTAACATTCAGATAGTATTACAACTTATAAGAAAATGAGCACTTTCCTGTCTTTTAAAAAAAAGGAAATGAACCTAAAACTGCTCTAAAATATAAAGTCTATTTTAAAAAAGGTGGGGGGGAACTGGGCTACATAAAGTTGTAGGTGGTGGCCACCAGGTTTTTGAAACTAGTCCCCCTACTTAACACAGGCTGATGCAGAGAAATCCCATATTATGCTCTCTCGATTACCCCAACATTAAAAGAACAAGGTTTAGCAGGTGTCCTACCTTAGGCTGTGGGGGTGGCGGTGAAGCAGGTGGCTGAGGAGAGCCACTGCTAGGCCATGAGGAAGTGCCCTCGTTCATGTAGAGACCCCCCGGTGGTCCTGAGGGCGCAGCTGAAGGCCAGGGGTACCGGGTTCCCATTCCATAAGCACCTGGAGGTGCCCATGAGTCCTCCTGGGGTCGAACAGTTGGTCCTGGTTGTGGAACACTACGATTACCATCCCCATAAGGGTAATGGGGTACGCTCATTCCAGGGTTCTGGGTTGAGAGGAAGGAAATATGCTGGTCATTGCTAAAAAAACACTTAAAGAAGTAATGAAAATATTCTAGTGTAAACAGATCCTGAGCTGCCTCCTCTCCGCTTAACAGAGTATACTTCAGCTGCTACAGGGTTAAACTGGAGTATTTCTTAACAGTTGCAATAACTTCTCCAAGCCTACAAAAGCTTGGTTCCAAAGATACCAGGGGCAGGTTTGGTGACCGTCAAGCTCAGAAAGAATAGGGCCTAAACTTTAACAGCTGAAGCACAGCGTAAGTCTGTCCCTCAGATACCAGAAATAAATCAGGAAACACAAATGAAGACATCCTAGAACTCCCCGGGAAGTGAACAGAGATTCCTAAAATATTTAAAAATATAAACCTAACCTCTTGAAGTGAACAGAGAAATAAACTTGGTACCATTCATTAATAGTTAAAAACTAAAAAGACGACAGAAGAGTGCTCACCTGTGAAGCAGGATATCCTGGAACCTGCCCCCTAAGAGGGGGTGCTTCAGTCTGGCAGTCCTGCTGGGGGTACATCCAACGGGAGACTGGGGCTGGGCTGTTGCCAGGTGAACGGTAAGTGCTTGGAACCTCTGTGGAGTAATTGGTCTGAGCATACCCAGGTGTGTAATAGGACCCAGGGTATGAGGCAGTATTTGTCCCCGGGCCAGTGGGGTATGGTGGGCCATATCCCCCATTTGTATAAGAATTCAAACTCTGGAAAAAGCAAAGTTGGGATAAAAAAGATGAATGAGTACAGAGCTGAAATGCCCTCACTCTGAGAACTTTGGGAAGAAAGGAGATGAGTAATGAAAATATCAACTACCTAAGCAACGCTTGAGAGGTGTTCTTATATTATAATCGTATACATATATTAAACTCATATTATCACTTTAGAGCCCGTGTCCTAACAATGGGAAGGTATATTGTGTGAAAGATGAAGTAATGGCCTTAGGGCTGTGCTATTAACCATTTTCATAAGAACACCTGACAGTCACACCTAACAGGAGGGAGGTTGTTCTGGGAAACCTGGCAGAATGGCTAAAGAAAGAAGAAAAGGACCCTGATACAACAGAAAGAAAAAAAGACCACCGAGACAGACTGAGCTCTGCCACAGGCTTTGTGTTTACTCTACTTTTTCAAGCAGGAAAATGGAAATCATGAACTTACTCTGCAGGGTTATTGTAAAAATTAAATGAGATGACATATATAAAGCTCAGTACAGTGTCTGGCACATAGTATGCTCAATAACTGATAATTTTTATAACATCATTGTTGTCAGTATAATTGTGGCAAGGCCAGGAGATAAACCCAATCTGACTCCAAGCCTGTGTTTTTTGTACTGTCTCACTCTGCTTCCCAAATTACAGTGGACAAATTCCTCATATACTGCTTCCTAAAGTTTTACATCACCTATCCAGACTACTATTGATACCTAAAATCTTCAGTTTAGTAATCCAAATAAGATTAAAGCTAAACTTTAAATGATTACCTTCAGGTTTTCCATTAATTTCTACTCTACCTTGTTAAGATGGTAAAAATGAAATCAACTTTTCCTGGACTCATCCTTCTAAAACTAGACAGTCTTTCCCATTTTAGGTAGAATAAGAAAAGAATCTTGTGATAATAAAACAGACTTATTTTGGTGATCATTTGATAATGTATACAAATATTGAATCATTATGTTATACATCTGAAATGGATGCTAAATGTCAATTATACCTCAATTAAAAGAGTAGAAACCTGATACCTCCTGTAGTTGTTAATAACTGAAGAAAATGAAATTTAAATCTGATTCCAAATCTACCACATCAAAAAGAGGGACAGGGCCTTCCCTGGTGGTCCCGTGGTTAAGCCTTGCATCTCCAACTCGGGGGCAGGGATTCGACCCTTGGTGGAGGAACTAAGGCCTCCAGGCTGCAGGGCACGCGCCCCCCCCGCCCCAAAATAAAGTCCTTATACAACATACGCAGCTGAAGATGATTTAAAAAAATGTGACTGTTTGTACTGTTTTTCAACTTCTAGAAATCCTTCCTAAGGAAATGATTCAACCAGAGAAAAAGTTATAAGCATGGATTTGTTCATCAGAGCATGAGTCACCATCACGCAGTATCGAAAACAACCTAAACGTCCTGTACTGATGGAATGATTAAGTCAATTATAGGCTATTCATTGAAGGAATTTTATCCTGTCTTAAAATTCACTGTAGAACTGACCAGACATCTATTGACATTAAAGAATTATTTTTAGTGTTTTTTAAGTTTTAATAATGGCATTGTGGTAATGTTTTAAAAATGTCCCTGTACCCAAAAAAAAAAAAAAAAAAGGTCCCTGTATATTAAAGATACATACTTAAGTATTTACAAGAGAAATAATGTGATACCTAGAATTTTCTTCAAAGCTCATTAAGAACATGGATGAAACATGAGGGCCATGTATTAATGATACTTTCTGAAGCTGAGTAAGAGGTCTAGGGAGATCACTGTGCTATCCCATTACTTTGGATTATGTTTGAAAATTTCTTTACTATTAAAAAGGAAAAAAAAAAAATTCCTGTCATTTCACCCTGTAACAAGTACATATGATAACCAAAAAGTAATGTTAAAAAGTATATGTAAAATAAGTTTAAAACTGGGTAAATACAATAGGGAGAAGACTGAAAACAAATTTACCAAAATATGAACATACTATGATGACAGAGTTAGTGGCTTTTCTCTCTTTTATTTCCCAAGTATTTAGTAATAGAGTTGCATTATTTTTATAGAAAAAAATTATCCTATTAAAGATGTCACATCAAAAAAAAAAAAAAGTCACAAAATCCCAAGTATGTCTAGTGGGCTACACAGAACATAGCTACTTCCATCTAGTCCAATTTTTTCATAAAGGGAAACTTGTATCTAAAGACAGCAAGCTGGGATTTGAAACCTGTCAGCTGATATGGCAACACATAAAATCCGAAACTGATCCACTATAAGGAGAATTAAGCAAAATCTTTGACAGTCATTGAATTTCTGTAGAAGTCTCATTCTGGATTCCAGAAGAAATCAAGAGACTGGAGCTTTTAAAACTCAAAACATATTCCAAGTGCTGCTTTTGTTCTAGAGGTAAATGTAAATATGACTCAGCATTTGAAAGTCAAAATACTGTCACACCATATGGTGTCTCACTGCAAGCTGAAGATTATCCAGGAGGAAATACTTCTTCCAAAAGTTGATTTTACAATTGATGGACTACTTATAGATGTAGAATCCAAAGGGGAGAAAAGTGACCAGGTCTCTTACCCAGAAAGTGATACACTGTTAATGGATTCCCTTCCCATTTGGTATATATGACTATCAAACAGCAAACAGACCCAATCCAAGTGGGAAAAATTACTTTTCCATTAGCAACACCACAATTCCTCCTGTAGTGCTTATCTTGAAAAACATGGAAAGCTTCACCACAAAAAGGACTCCGAGCCTTCACAATTATCAGGAGTCAACACCAACTTGAGTTTCTGCTGACACTCGCTTTTGGAACTGCCCAGTCTATCATCCTCCACTGGTCATTTCCTCAAGCAGCATCTCTACTTACAGAACTGGTCCAATTTTTGTCTCACAAGAGCTCCAAACCATGATACTTAGTAAGTTGTATTTGACAACCCAGTTCTCCTTTAAATTAAATGAAAAGGTATTACAGGTTCTGACCAAAGTCCTTTTGTATCCTGATTTCTCAAATTTAGAACATTATAAGAGGACTTCAGTTGCCTTTCTTTGAGCATTTCTGTTCCCAGGCACTCGGTGTTCTGTGGTGAAATCTTCCAGAAGTCAGGAGAATTATCTTCATCATCAGAAAATCAATGTGAAAACATCCATCTTTCATCCTTTAGATATGTGGGAAAGCAGCTTTAGAAAAACAAGTCGCATTTGTGACCAATGAGAGGACTTTAAACAAACAACAGAAAAAAATCCACCACAGGGACTTCCTTGCTGGCCCAGCTTCCTTGTTGGCCCAGTGGTTAAGACTCTGCTTTGGCACAGAGTTTGATCCCCAGTCAGGCAAGCAAACCAAAGACCCCCCACCACAATCATTACTAGAAAACCTGTGTGTTTATCATACTTTTCCCAAGTACCCTCTGGGTCAATAGATCAGAGCTACAACATGCATGATTACAACAACCAGAGTCAGAAGAACATGTATTAGCCTTGCAATCGTTACAGACCATGACTAAGCATGAGCTAATGATCACAGTTCAGAGATGTTTCAGCGTTTTTAAATCTTCTGAAGAGTAGGTTGGCAGCAAAGAAAATAAAGGAGTTCTTGGCTCTCTAATCACTGTGAAAAGTAATTTGGCTATATTAAATAAAGATGTACATACCCAAACTCACCAATTCCACACACTAGGGAAATGCTTGTCTTGTATGTTGTACAATAGAAAAGGGAAAAACAATGTTGAGTTAAAAAAAGCAAGGTGCAAGGGAATGCTAGGATGAAACCACTTACTTCAAGTTTAAAAACTTGATATGTTTTTAAAATAAAATGTTTTAAAAATGTTAAGTTGTACTATAAAAATGCATATACACATGGCTAATTCATTTCAATGTATGACAAAAACCACTGCAATGTTGTAAAGTAATTAGCCTCCAACTAATAAAAATAAATGAAAAAAAAAAAATGCATATACAAATAGTAAAAGCATAAAAACACATATGAGATATAAATCTAACTTCAGCTTCAGTCCCTGATTGGGGAACCAAGACCCTGCACGCCATGTGCCATCATACACGAAAGCTTTTTTAAATGGGCAGAGGGTCTGAATAGACATTCTCCCAAAGACACACAGATGGCCAGCAGGCACATGGAAAGGTGCTCAACATCCCTCATCATCGGGGAAACGCAAATCAAAACCACAGTGACACACCACCTCACACCTATCAGAGTGGCTATTCTCAAAAAGACAAGAAGTACTGGATGAGGATGCTGAGAAAAGGAAACCCTTGTGTACTGTTGATGGGAAGGTAAACTGGCACAGTCACTATGGAAAACAGTATGGCGGTACCTCAGAAAACTAACATCAGAACTACCGTATGATCCAATAATTCCATTTCTGGGAATATGTTCAAAGGGAACACCACCAACTTAAAAAGTACCCCATGTTCACTGCAGCATTATTTAAATAGCCAAGACACAGAAACACCCTAAATGTCCAGCAGTGGAAGAATGAATGAAGACAAAGAGAGACAGATATACCCACACACAATGGAGTATTATTCAAGCAAAAAACCAAGGAAATCTTGCCATTGGGACAACATGGATGGACCTTGAAGGCGTTAAGTTAAGTGTGATACACAAATACTGCATGATCTCATTTATATGTAAAACCTAAAAAACAAACAAACAAAAAAGGCCAACTCACAGACACAGACAACAGACTGGTGGTTCCAGAGGTGGAGCAGCAGGTTGCTGGTCAAAAGGTACAAACTTCCAGTTAGAAAGTAAATAAACCACAGAACGCAATGTGTACTCTACTAACTATAGTTAGATATTGTATTGTACATTTAAAAACTGACTGAGAGAGTTTATCTCAAAAGTTTTCATCACAGAGGCTTTCCTGGTGGTTCAGTGGTAAAGAATCTGCCTGCCCCTGCAGGGGACGTGGTTTGATCCCTGATCCAGGAAGATCCCACATGCCACAGAGCAACTAAGCCCGTTCACCACAACTAGGGAGCCAGTGCTCTAGAGCCCAGAAGCTGCAACTACTGAAAGCCCTCGCACCCTAGAGCTGGTACATCGCAACAGAAACCACTGCAATGAGAAGCCCACGTGCCACACCCAACTAGAGACCAGCCCCCGCCCTCCGCAATTAGAGAAAGCCTGCATAGCAAGGAAGACCCGCTACAGCCAAAAACAATACATTAAAAACCTTTTCATCACAAGAAAACAAAAATCTGTAACTATGTATGGTGACAGATGTTAACTAGACTTATGTGGTGATCATTTTGGAAAGCATATAAATACTGAATCTTTACATTATATACCTGAAACTAATATAATGTTATATGTCAATCATAGTTCCATAAAATAACACATTTTTAGAAATACGTACATTTTGCCTTTGTTGTTTCCAGGTCCTGAGAAATAATCTATCATATGTCAAGCCACCTCTGCCTTACGTAGTATCTGCCTAGATATCTCCCTATCTCTGAGTTAAAAATGTTAAAATGATTAAGATAGACTCCATTACATAACAAAACCCCACACATCTTTACTATAAAATTTCCACAGGTTCTGAAAATAAATCAGATCATTAAGAGAAAATTCAGAAAGTCTATCAATTTCAGATCATACCTGGCTTTGCATTTCCGGTCTTACAGGGTATGTACTTGGGTAAGGAGCCCGAGGTCGGGCAGTAGAATTCCAATAGCTAGTATTGTAACTAGGATATGGTGGCTGCTCCTAAGGGAAAAAAGGAAAGTAAATTCACTTTTACTTACTTTTCCTTACATCATTCTGAAAAGCTGATATACAGGCAGCATGGAAAAAGTCAAGACACAAAAAGCAATGGGACCCCATTCTAAAATCACTCATTATTAAAACTGATGCAGATACATGGTGAACTCTGTGTCTGAGAACAAAGCAGTTATTAACTATTCTTGTGTATTATGCCACTTATATTCAATAACAAATGATATACCTACTATGTCCAGACAATTACCAAAACCAGAGACATTCAATTCCTTTATCCCTCTCCAATCCCTAACCCATCACCACTAATTTAATGAGTGCAGCCCAATTACAGTTGTTTGCCATTGTTAAGAGTAGCATTTACTTATCTCAATAGCTTTGCAACTTGAAGTTAACATTTTACTATTAAGTGAAAAGTGAAGTCGCTCAGTCGTGTCCGACTCTGCAACCCCATTGACCAGGCTCCGCCGTCCATGGGATTCTCCAGGACAAGAGTACTGGAGTGGGTTGTCATTTCCTTCTCCAGGGGATCTTCCCAACCCAGGGATTGAACCCAGGTCTCCTGCATTGTAGGCAGACACTTTTACAATCGGAGTCACCAGGGAAGCCTTTTACTATTAAACTTTACTTCAAATGCAAATATCTTCAATACTCGACTTCTTTGCCTGCCACACCCCCAGGTTTTTTACATTCTTCCACTTTCTGCTAGGCTAAGCTTTCTTCTGGTGAAAGTGAAAGAAAGTAAGTGAAGTCGCTCAGTTGTGTCCGACTCTTTGCGACCCTATGGACTGTAGCCTGCCAGGCTCTTCTGTCCATGGGATTCTCCAGGCAATAGTACTGGAGTGGGTTGCCATTTCCTTCTCCAGGGGATCTTCCCAACCCAGGGATCAAACCCGGGTCTCCCGCATTGCAGTATCAGGAAATTAGGTAGAATAATTACCACTCCAAGGAGAAAATCTAGCTATGACATTAATTTCTACAGCTTTCACTCCAATCATTTGCAATAAGCCAAAATACTCTGATAAGAAACAAGATCAACTCAAAACTTCTCAGGCTATTTTAACATATGCACTTTTTATCCCATAAATTGAGCTATTTTGCTTTGAGCTTTATAGTTTAATTTTAAGCTTAAACAGGATCTTCAAATCTTCAAATATGGTTTCACAAAGAAATTCACTGGCAGTTGTAGTCACTGAGAATTTAATTATCACCATCTGAGCTTAACTGCACTACTTACCAGTTTCATAACACTTTGTTTTCAAAGCATGCAGTTATTCCACATGACATTATACAAGCTGGGCAAGTAGCATCTCCTTTACATAATATAGCAACTAGAGCAATACAGAAACAAGGAAACTTCACATTCTAAGAACCAGATTTCTCAATCAGGCAAATTCCCCTGATTAATGACTCCCCTTCCTTCCCCCCAGTTAAGTGGCATTTGACTAATTAACTGTTTCTCTCTACCAAGAATTTGAATCTTAATTAAAAAGAGGTGAAAACATAAGAGTTGAAGCTGACTCACCCCAGCAATGGTGAACCGACACCTAAATCCCCAGAACGTCCTTGGTTTCTGTCCCTTCCTACTGATTCTCCAAAGCCCCCACACATTTTTACTGCCTCCCCACCTTCCCTCTCCTCACTCCTTCCTTACTCAGCTTTCCAACACCTTCATCCCTTACCACTCTCCCTCAGAGGTACTCACCCTGCAAAAACCAATTACCCACTGACTTCCCATCTGTACCTCACCAAAGTATTAGTGGAGAGAAACACAAGCTCTCTGGATTCACACAAGCAGACCCTCAGCATGGCCTAACAACCACACCACCCTTCCTGGGGATGTTCATCCCACTCTGCACAACAGCTAATATTTCACCTTCTTGTCCTCTCAGATCTCCAGTATCCTCTTATGATGACACCCCTCACTCATCAACTGGTAACTTTATCTCATCTTTCACCAAAAAAAAAAAAAAAAAGCAATCAGACAGAAACTATCTTCCTACTTTCTAAAGTTACCAATCTGTCCCTGTCTTCTCAGAACTTGTGCATGAACTGTCTTTGGCCCTATTAAAAGGCCAAATCCTTCCTCATAGCTCTGGACAACATAACTTCTTACCATCTACAGAACTTTCACGAATCATCTATTTCTCCTAGTAGGGCGGACTGCCTCTCTTAAAAACACCAACTTGCCCTTAAGACTACCCTAAACAAATATTAAAACCTATTTTTAAACTACTTTAATTAACAGTGTGACAAGTGATTGGGTGTCTAATGAACAATAACTTGATTAACAATAACCTGATAGTTGCTGAAGATGAGTGATGGATATCTGAGAATTTTACTACACTAGTTTCTCTACTTTAACACAATGAATGTGTCACAAGTTTCCATAACAAAAAGTTAAAAAACAAAGCTATGGGGCAGAAGGTAGACTTCCCTTAAATACATCCTGTTTTGTACATTTGACTTTAGAATAATTATGAACATTTTACATAATTATGAAAGATAATGAAGTATTTTTAAATCCCTGAAAGGAAGCAAAATAAAATAAACACTAAATATTGAATTGATAAAGACACTTCACAGAAGGAAATTCTTTCAAGTGGGTATAAAGCACAGTAATCTGACCAACATTACAACTCAGGTAAATAGTCTGTAGACTCCCCCAAATGAATTTTTCAGTAAGCATATTAATAATTACCAACATTGTTGGTACTGCTAATGAACGATTACACTGGTGTGATTGGAAATCAGTATTTTCATAATGGGAGATGAGGTATACAAGAATAATGAAATCAAGAGGTTTCCCAGGCGGCTCCGTGGTAAAACATCCACTTGCAGTGCAAGAGACGCAGGAGACGCGGGTTCAATCCCTGGGTCTGGAAAGATCTCCTGGAGGAGGAAACGGCATCCCACTCCAGTATTCTTTTCTGAAAAAGCCCATGGACAGAGAAGTCTGGCAGGCTATAGGCCATGGGGTCACAAACAATCAGACACGACTGAGTGGCAGCGCACACACACGTTTCCCTCCTTTACTTCAACAAACGTGTCTGAGGACCCGCGGTTAACCAAGCACTGCACGGTGTGGGGGAGCATGGAGGCCCCCCAGATTTTACATCCCACAGAGGAGGGGGATAAACCATACCCAAATAATCAGCAACAGAAAGAATAATGAATGAAAACCCCGTAGTCCTGGAGCTCCCTGGCAGCCCTCACTTCCACTGCAGGGTGCACGGGTCCCAGCCCTGGCTGGGGAACAGATTCTGCAAGCCACCCAGCATGACTAAACAAAAAAGTACAGTCCTTAAATTTCTGTGAAAATTTTAAATTCAAACTGCATTTTATCTTTAAAAAAACCCTAACAAATTGATAATCACACATATACAAAAAAATTAATTCAAGTAACTCTTGAACAATCTTCTGAAGGATATCCTTAATGGTATACCTTCTAAAGGTAAAAGAAATGCAAAGAAATGCTGTCATTTGAACCCAGCCTGGGACCTGAAGATGAGCCCCTGCAGCAACCTCACAGAACGTGAGCAGGAAATAGTCACTGCTGTAAGCTACAACTCAGAGTTGTTTTTTACTACAGGAAAAATCAACTGATAACTAAACATCAAGTTGGTAACATAACCATACAGAAAAAAGAATTATTTCTAATGACTTTTAAATCACATTACTTTGACTGTACAGTCTCAGTGGAATATATTCCAAGGACCAGATGAACTGTAAAGAAACCTAAACTGCATCCATTAGTTATCTCTTAGTCAAAATACTGGTACTACTACTTGCGTTAACAGGTTCATCAAGACATAATTTACTACCATGCAATCTGCTCATTTAAACTGTGCAAGGCAATGGATTTTAGTATATCCAGATATACGAAAGCAATATATGTGATCATCACCACAATCAATTGCAGAACATTTCAAACCTCAAAAAAAAATGTTTCCATCAGCTACACCCTCCTATCTGCCATTCCATAGCCCTGCACCACCACTTATCTATCTCTATAGATATGCCTACCCTGGACACTTTATATAAATGGTAGCATGTATCATATAATATGTGACGGGCTTCTTCCACTTATATCTTAGGAAATTACAAGGGTTTCCAAGAGACCTATGCCAAAAACCTGGGGTCGAGATCAATATATATATATTTTTTTCTTTTATCTCACACAGCATAGAGTTGAACCTTTTTTTTAATCCAGTCCGACAATCCCTGTCTTTGATTGGATTGTTTAATCTATTCACAGTTGATGCTATTATGGATACAGTTGGATTTACATCTGTCATTTTACTTTCTGTTTTCTACATCTCATATTTGGTTTTGTTCCTCTGTTCTTCCTTTACTGCTTTTGCATCAAGTGAGTATTTTCTAATGCAGCTTAATGCAGCTTTTTAATTTCTTTACTGAATATATATAAATATTTGTGGAGCTGTTAAACTCCACAAATTTCCAGCTAGTTTCTCTACTATTTCATCAAGACCCTGGGATGTGAATTGTTCCGCAAACCGATCCAATCACATTTGGGTTCCTTGGAAGGGACACCTCCCAAAGTCAGTGTCTGAGATGTGTTGACTCCAGAGGGCTCCTCCCAGCTATCTCCTTCCCCAGTTCTCTCCAGCTAACTAGCTGGCCTACCGTTTAGTTTTTATCCGCAATGAATCTACCGATCTCCTCCCAACTGCCTTTCACAGCAACCTCTAAGTTTCCGAGAACATCCTCAGGCTTCAGCTTAGCCATATTCTGATGCAAATAAAGTCAGTTCCTTGGGAAAACATTAGGAACTACTGGTTTTACAGCTTCCGCCTCCAGAGAAAAATGTCTGAGCCACATTCTGCAGTTAGTTGGGTTGGGGACAAGGGTGTGCTTCTGTGAGAGACACCCCTGCTCTAAGAGCTGAGCACCTGGAAGGGGGAAGACAGGAGCCTCAGGCCTTCCCAGCGGGCCTCCAGACCAGGGACAGGGCGATCAGAGCCCCGCTG